CCCCGCGCACCGCACCGCACCGCCGCGCCGCACCGCGCCGCCCGTCGATACGCGCGCCCCCGGGCAGCCGCCCCGACGCGGAGCGGCGCGGCACCCGGGACGCGGCGGCCAGCGGGCGGGGCTCAGGTGATGGCCGGCTGAGTCAACTAATTTCGCCATTAGTCCCGTGGAGCGTAGTGCATGTTTTAGCCGGGAAGAAGCGTCGTGTTCCTCCCTCACTGACACCGGGGGAGGTGGCTAAGGGCATCAGTTGATGTCACTGCAGAGCCTGTGACCGGGTCCTAGGGTTCCAGTCCAGTCAAGGGCAGCATTCGACACTAAATAGATAACTCGAATTCAGTCGCTGGCTGGAGGAGAATTCTAGGGGCCGGCTACTCCGATAGGTAGTATTCTGTAGTTTCTCCGATCAACACCAGGTGAATACAGGGGCAGTGCCCCAACAAACGGACCACAGACCGTGCGCGATCTTTCCTTCCCCTTCGTTGACCTACCGTGACCCTTTCGTATACACACCCGAATAACATTTCTACTAGACAGCTAACGATCGACAGGGAAGAAGGTGTTCCAACCAAAGGCTCCAAATTCTGATGATGTCACTGCAGAGTTGCTGATTCTTAATAAGAAAAAAAAGAAATCTAATAGCGCGAAGAAACTGAAAGATGAAGAGCTCCATTATTTATTTGGGTATGCATAATGTATGATGGCCTGGTTCATCCAATGTTGTGAGCTTTTATTACGATTAGTTTCTTGCTACTGCTGTTGTTGTTATGATCTGATGCGACAACGACCTCACGACCATGTGTCAGCCGCCCGAGTAAATAGCAACATCAGTCTACCTCACCCCCATCTGTCAAGAAGACAGAAACATTATTCGGACTGTACATGCATTACACTACCACACATGTCGGGAGCTCAGAGCTCGTGGCGTCCCGCTGGAGGAGAGGAGGTTGGTTGGAGAAAACCGGGCCAGCCGACGGGAGGTCAGCGCCGGATCACGCCATCCAGTGAGGGAAGATCACCATCACCTTCCGAGGAAATAACATGCGCTACACTTACGGGACTAATGCTCTTTGCAGTGGACGCGTCCGGAATCACTAATCAATCATTTCCCCGCTGACTCAGGTGATGGGCGCAGTGTGGGTGGG